AGATTCATATGCAGTTGTAAGAAATAATATGGAGAGGTCCTGTGTACCCTCCACCCAGTTTCCCACATGGTAACATTTGAGTAACTGTAGTTGCTATCGCAACCAGGGAATTGACATTCTCCTCCTGTTTTTAAGGGGGTTATGGATTGCCTCATACTCCTAGTCCTGTGGGAATACTATGTGGCTACCCTAAGTGATGACTACATTGAAATAAGAGAAGTAGAGTTTCTCATGACAACCTGGAGTGGTCTGGTATTTTAATTCAGTGTGAACTAGAAGATTCAGCAACATGGCAATGTCCACATTTAATTATGTATAAAGTCCCCTCAAGTAATTTTCCTCTTAATTCAATGTAGAGAAGGTTAGAAGGCAGATCTAAGCCCTCCAACCACCCCCCCCCCACCTTCCCTTTAAACAACACCAACTCTGGTCTTAGCTATTTTATAACAGATTTCATTTATGATTTTGTTTGAAAAAGGAGAAAGTTCCAAGGCTTAAACCATTGGATTAGTTCAGTAGATGTATTCAAGCTAGAGGCATCAGGCTTAGCAGGTTCAAAAACCACCGCACAGATCATCATCGGTATCTCTTATCCATAATTTACGGGGGAAAAAAAGGAGCACATACAAAAATTTCAACTTTGCAGAAAAGATGTGCTATGGAAAAAAAAATGCCTAGTTCAGGGTAGCTTGTGTCACTTCAGTAACTAAAATCTGGTAATACCAAAAAGGAATGTACTAACATTTTTTATGTCTTTACTTGACAGTTTTAGTAGACAAAGACCAGAGTCCAAAGTGGAAACCAGCTGATTTAAAAGAAGTGACTGATGAAGATTTGAATAGCTACTTCAAATCTCTGGGAAGTAATGATTTGAAATTTTGAAGTGACTGGGTTTTTAAAATACTATTTTGAAGCAGAGGTTGGCAAACTATGGCACATGGGCCAGATCAGACCTGCTGCCTGTTTTTTGTATATCCCTCAGCTAAGAATGGTGTCTGCATTTTTAAATGGTTGGGAAAGAAATCAAAGACCAATACTGCGTGGCATGTGAAAATTACATCAAATTCAAATATCAGTGTCCATAAATAAAGGTTTATTGGAACATAGCTATACCCTTCTGTTTACATATTACCTGTGGGTGCTTTGAGCAGCTGCAAGAGAGTTTGTAAAGCCTACAAAGCCTAAAGAATGCATTGTCTGGTCCTTTTCAGCAGAAGTTTGCCAGCCCCTATTTTAAAAAATGGGAAAATTTGATGAGTCTTTAGAGATTCTTGAGTTAGTGTATCTAACTGAAATGGGAACTTTATGTTTTGGCTTTGGGTAACGGTTTTAAATGTTGATTAAATAAACATATATAAGTTATAAAAAAAATTAAAACCCTGAAAATTTTTTGGATACTATGTTAACACTTCATAGAATTTTCTCCATATATAAATCTATTTTAAAATAATTAGGAGTTACTGTAGCAGAAGTGTTCCCTTTATAACATTAGAAATCTCAGGCAAAGAGAAGAGGAAGAGGTTTTTATGAGGCTCTTTCCAGTATTAACAGCTCAGCCTTGGCCGTCCCTGAAGTTAAGCAGAATTCCTTCCTACGGTGAAAGTAACAGCATTATTTTTTGTTGTTTGTGGTATTTGCTAATCTGGCAGAACGAGGCATTAGGAAACTCTGATCTCTAAGATAGAGACATTTTGCTTTCTGCAGTTTACACCAGAATTTTGTGTGGTAACAGTTACTCGTCCTTACACAGTTCAAATCAGGAGAAAAAATTGAAAATGAGGACTTCTGTTCAAAATAGAAATACCTTCAGTAATTGGTACTGTTGACAAAATAAGTTGTTTTTGTTTTTGTTTACACAACTGTAGGTGTTCCAGACTTGGAATGTTAATGTCTAGGTAAGAATCATTTTAAAATTAAAGGTCAGCGTACAATTTATTTTATAGCTTTGTACAGTTTTCCTTCATTTATATGCCTCAGAAACTAAGAGAACTTTAGGTCTGGAAGAACAAAAAGTAGGCAAAGCTGAAAAAGACAACAGGGATTATATCCTGCACCCTTCTCATAGATGAGGAAATTGAAGTCCAGAAGGAATTGCTTTAAATTTTCTGTTCTTAATATATTTAACATGAAGCATTTTCCACCCCCCTCCCAAAATTAGGAACAGATTTGGAATAAAGATGCCATGATAAATGAACATGCTTACATTTGTATTCTTAAAGCTGCTAAATTAGATGTGAGTGATCCAAGAAAATATTTGTAATGGATTTTTATTCCCTTTGTATTTGCTAGAAATGCAGAAAATGTCTTTTATGTTAAAAAATTGAAATCACGCAATGATGAAAAGCATTTGCTTGCAACTAAGAAAGAACTCGTTAACTAGTTAATTGCAACTAGACTTTTATTGTACAATTAGGAAAAATGTTTTCACAAAAATATTTGGAAAAAATATACCATTTCATAGCTAAGTCTTACAGTGAAAAGAATTTGCTAACAAAACTTGAGTTTTGCAAAGTACTGTTGGAGTACATCTGAGCTTGTCCCCAGTGCTCCAAGGAAGACACATCCAGTTTGGTGACACAAATACAGGATAAGGGCATTGTAAGTAAGCAAACAGTTTGTTACATCTTTGTTTTTAAGTTACTGTTTCTTGACATTATTTGTAATTTGTCTCTAACTTTTGATTTCTAAAGCTATGTAATTACAAAAGCACAGTCCCCTATCTCATAAAATGCCAATGATAGCGAGTAGGAAATACGAGTATTATACTGCTTCCCTCAACGCGTCTCTCTGTAATACTAGTAAGGCAGTTTGACACAAATTACTCCTTTAGGACTAAGATTGTTTTATCACCTTCAGAGTTGTGCTTTAAGTGCTAATAACTATAGGTAGCTGCAAAGAACTGATAAGGCAACGGGAAATTTCGCGGAGAACTCTCAGATGAAACGCGTGTGACTGAAAGGTAATAGTTCTCCCAGAGACACCGCGCTGGGCGCTGGGGGGGGGGGGGGCGGGGGAAGCGCGGCGGCGCGGGGCTGGAGCAGCGCGCTGTCCCGGGTGACCTGCTGCTGCCACAGTTGTCCCCTGCAGGTTCGTTGTCGGTTGGTGGCCCCTCTGCTGGACGTTCTTGAGGGAAAAGTGTCCGTGGTCGGGCACGTGGCAGCGTGGTAAAGAACAGGACTTGGCTACTGTGTCCTTGCCCTCAGAAAAAAAAAGGGGAAACTTGTTTTTGGAGCCTGACATCAGTGCCGTTTATTGGGCCCTCTTTTCCTCACTTGCCTTTCCCTTATAATTTGGCCACTATTTTTATTTCTTCATGTTTGTGATTTAAATTGAAACAAATGTTTCCCTTTCCAGTAGCTAATAATTCTATTCTGTCAGTCTTCTGTTTTATATGTTTCCTTGCTTCTCAAATGGTCCTTCTGCTCTTTGTTTATGAAAGACCTTCAAAGTGAAGTAAATCCAATATTTAAATATGAAGGTATGCAAGAAGTTGAATTACCTTATCAAAGATCACCTTATTTATCTTGTCATGAAGGCCAAACTATATCTTGATAATAATCACATGCAGTATATTTGTTTATCCAGCTCTTTCCTGCCTGCCCCCAACATGGTTTATCCCGACTCGTGGATTAAGTGAGCTTTTGCAGTTCCTTGTTCATGGTTTGACATGTAATATGGCGTACATTTAAGTAAGTCTCTGTATGTCCCAGGGTATTATATTCTTGTTAGAATGAGTCAGGGCCATACTGCCGTGGTACCAGAGAGGGCAGCCCCAGAGATCAGACTTGTAGCCAGACATGGGTCTGACCTGCATTCCTGTGTTACGCCCATGTGAAACAGAGGGCCAGGGCAAAGGAGAAACCTGAGGTTAAATGGTTTAGATATATTCAGAACGTAATAGTCTGTCCCTGTGTATGCTGAGAAATTTAGTGTGATGTGCTGTTTTTATATGGCTTTGTGTTCTCTATACCAATAATATAAGGTATTATCTTACATACCTAATTATACTTTTTAAACAGCAAAGTATCCTGATGTGAGATATGGAGTGAGTGAAAAAACAGGGTCTAGGCTTTTGTCTGAGTCATTAGTATAAACGCTCATAAGCCTGAATTTTTCTTCCTGAGCCAGAAATATGCTTTGCACTTTTTGGAAACTTCTTAGCCTTGTGATTTTAAATCCTTGTATAAACAGAGGAGGTGGTTTTTCTATTTTGTAAAGTTGCTAGATTATAAATACAACAGGAGAGTACAAATCCTAGGACCAGGTGAAATGAAAGTTAAAAGACCAATTGTCCAAAGGTAACAAAAAGATGCCTTGTCACTCACTTCAAAGAACCTTCTTTGCCCATTTTCTGTGGGGAATTAACTGATTATGGATTCAGAGTATAATTGCTGAAGTTAGAGGTAGCAATTCTGCCTGCTTTGAAGGTCAAATATGTATTTATGTTGTCAGAGGTCGCAGGCCCTTTTCTGCCTCTCTTTAGATTTCAATGACAGGGGTCTGTTGTATCTTAGTAAAAGGATCTAATAACGCTCACAGAGGTAAATAATTCTTTTTTCAGTTCAACTCTATGCGTAGCATATCTTGATGAAAAGGTAATTCTGAAGACTCAGTATCAATTTTCTTGCAAGTTATGTCTTATCAGTATCTTCTTCCCTCTTCCTCTGAGTTTTCTGTAACCATTGCTCTTAAGCAGTACTTAATTCTTAAAAACAAAAACCTTCCCTAAAATGGTAGCCAAATTTATGAAAACAGTATAGTCTATGGCTATAAATGCCCTGTAGGCATCGTTACCATTAAAAATACACAGCATATTCCCTTTGGAGGAATACTTGATCCTGTGTAATGACAACGATAAATCCTCACGTATGATCTGGTGCCCCAGTAACTTGAATGGTGCTGCCCGTGTACCAGCCCCTGGAATCTGAGACAGTAAAGCTTAGAACACATGCAGCACTGAGACCAGGTTCTTTCCACCTTCCCAGCTAGGGCTTCTGCTATTTTTACAATTTACTGGATTGCTGTTTGTCACAGCTACCATACTTGTTTATCTGTATAGTAATGTCAGCGGGCTACTGAATGCAATGCAGTAGACATTGCTACGACTTCTGTAGATTGTATCTTGTTAAGATGCTTGTACACAAAGCCTGAGTCATCCAGTAACAGTCGTGAATAGTTAGGGCCCTGAGGTTTCAAGGTGAGAGTTACGCTTTTCATCTGCAGAAGTACCTTAATAAGGACAGGGTGCACAGTGGGCCTCTTCTACGCGGGTCGCTTCCTAATCCTTGGTCGTTTGAGGGATCCTTGACTCAAAGGCTTTGACGAACAAGACCCACTAATAACCACTATGGCCCGAGTGCCATTCCCTTGCCCAGGCATTTCAAGAAAAATCCTTTGATACTCTGTTTTTTTGTGTAAATTGACAGTTATTTTAAGGGAATGTATTTAAAATAACCATTTGGAAACCCAGGGTACTTTTAAAATTCTTACTCCTTTGGTGATGGCATTACTGCCTCTGGGAAGGAAGTGGTGTGACACACAGCTGATTACTGTGGTGCCGCGGGACTTACATTTAGCCCTTTAATGACTAAAATCCAAAACCAAGCAGATAGAAATCGCTGTTGCAGAACTGCTTAACACACGTTTCATTTTAGGCATTCTCAGAATCTCGATGCTGTCAGATTTTTTTTAACACCCAGATTGAGTTACCGTATTTATTCATAGCAGTTTTTGCTATTGTTTCATGTGTTTAAACTAGCACCGACTTGATCCACAGTTTGAGAAAGTGTCATCACCCTACGTACAGCGTCAAGGCCCCTCACTCTCGATATAGGGGATGTCATAGTACTTGATGTTGTCGCCTGCCCACTGCTGCAGGGCGTCAGTCAGGATCTCCTGGGACAGGCGGTGTGCAAACTCGAAGACCACGACTTCAGGCCCTGGGGGTTCCTTCACTTCCTCTTTGACGTTAACCAAAGAAGGCATCCTGGGTAGAAATCTCTCTTCAGGCATAAAGCTTTCCTCGTTCACTTGCCTCTTCCCACTCTCAAGTGTGGTGGGAAATGGGAACGTTTGCTTTGATTTCATGCAGCCCATGTTATGAAGCGCTCTGAGTGAAGGAAGGCAGCAGCGAAAGACTACAGCGGCTTCTCTGGGAAACACCAAGCATTTGTCCGCTCGATGGTGCCTGGTGCTTCTCCTGTCCAGGCCCCCTCAGCAGTCAGCGCTCCCTCTCAGCAGTCTGCACATGTAGTGTTTATCTGTTGAGAGAAGGGAAGTTTCATTCTGAAGTCACAGAATGCAAAATACTGTATAATTAGGTAGCAAGTAGAAACAAATCTTTACCACCTTCATCACTCGGAGGAAATGTGAGGCAGCAACAGCTTTTTTTATTGGTAAAGGAAACTAGTCATTCAGGAACAGCAGGGTACAAAACAGGAAAATGTTTTTTCAAGCTCTTGAAAATTTTATAAAACTGAAAACAAACCATTGCTGCCTTAGATATCAATACCAGGGTTCAGCGAACTGTAGCCTTTGGGCCAAATTCCAGCTGCCTGTTTTTGTAAATGAAGTTCATAAGAACACAGATGTGCCCACTTGTACAAATCACCTGTGGCTGCTTTCCGGCCTCAGTGGCACAGGTTGGTTGGCACAGAGACTGGTCTGTTGGCCTGAAATACTTGCTGTCTGGCCCTTTGCAGAAAACATTTGCTGACCCCTGAGCTATACTGTTGAGGGAGACAAGCAAATCAAAATTTGCTCAAACCTCAAATGTCAGGCACCTGCACGTTTTGGTCTGTGATTTGAGTCCCTTGGTCACATGTGTACAACTCAGATAGGAGGACAGAATGATGGCCTTCACACTGGTGCCAACTCTGGGCAACACAAGTCAGACGTGGCAAAGCTGCCCGTCTTTCCTCCTGAGTTAGCTGTTACGAAAAGTATATGAAAAGCTCAGATTACTTTAAAATTAGCCTAAAAGTTTCTCCCCCAGATGTCTTGCTCGGGTTTGATGTTTGGACAGTAAGTAGGCTACAGTGTTTGGGATGTGCTTTCTGAGCTCAATGGGGTGCTGCCGCAGAGTGCACTTACCTGAGATAGGACTTAAGTAACTAAAACAGCACAGAGCAGCTTCACTGGGGGGAGGTCTAGTTATAAGAAAGCACAGGCAAAGGTTCTATGAATGAGGTTATGGTCCTTGATTTTATCTTAGTTTTCAGACCAAAGACAGCTCTAAAAATTCATAAAGTATAACTATACCTGAACCACTGATTTTAAGAAGGTAAAAACTAGCATGCATTTAATTCATTTTGAATAGCTTATAAGAAGTCCAGAAAAGGTGACCTTTGCCCAGGTCTTAGTACTATATGTTTTTTAGATTTCTAAAAATTTTACCCAGTTTCTCCCATAATATAGTTGTTTCCTACCTCTACCCCTGATAAGGGATGATATAGAGGGCTGGAAAGGTAATCTCTGGCTTTCTGCTTTTAATTACCTTCAGTTCCATATGCCCTGCTACATGCTCCAGAGATGCATTTCAAACAGAACAAGGGATGTGTGTGCTGTGTCTGCTTTACTAGGCTGAACTAGAAGACAGGAACTGTGCTGGTTTTGCACCTCTAACAGTAATGACTTACACAGGATCTATTTTGTGTGTGTTTTTTTTAATGGGGGGAGGTAATTAGGTTTATTTATTTACTCAGTGGAGGTACTGGGAACATAATATCTATTTTGTAATATGAAGGATGGTTAAGGGAACTGGACTTAGTTAACTAGAAAATGATCAGAGAATTCAGTGAGTGTCAAAAGGCCATGAGAAGAAGCAACTCTGTTTTCTAAGATCTTTGGTTTTGCAAAAGCAGCTTTATCTTACCATAACAGAAGTAGTGCCAAATCTACCCTCTCACCAAAAACAACTTTCAACCTGGAAAAACATAAGTGGGCAGGCATTTGCAGGCATTGAACAACAGCACAGGACTGTGATTTCCCCAAGAGGAGGGAAACATGATGTTAAACCTCACAACTGGTCCTCCTGAGAGTCTGCCTGGGAGCATCTTCCAGCCTTATTACAGGGATGCTGAGCCCCAGCAGAGTGCGGTTCTGCCAAGCTGCAGAGGCAGAGGCTGGGTTACTGAAACAGATGAAATTTACAAGACAGAGTTCAAGAAAAAAGGGAGCTGAGGGGGGACTGAAATTGAAACTGAACAGGACTCTTCCTGGGGACAGACCCCTGTGTCCCCTGTCTCTTGTTTCTAGAAAAGCTTTAGCCTCCTAGGCTGTCCCCAAGTTCCAAAGAGCAAATTTAACCAGAGAAGTGAGAAAATCCAGAACAAAACGAAATAATAGTTTAGCCATGAAGTTAAGGACCCTTGTTTCCTCCTCAAGGGCTACAGACAGTATCCTGAGCCATATACTTGAGTTGTTTTACAGATATTAAAACCCCCACCAGGTGAAGGAAGTTAACTGCATGCTGACCACCAGCATGTTAGACCTCAGACCTGCTGGAACCAGAAGGTTGATGATATTAACTCCTCAGATGCCACCCAGTTACCTCACCACCAGCCAATCAGAAGGATGTTCATGAGCTGATCACACACCCTGTTAATTAACAGAACTATAAAGCAGCTATTTAAATACATTCAAGGACAGAAAGGCAGAGTGATCATGGAGTGAACAGAGAATCTCACCAGAGAAATGGAAATTGTAAAACAAAGCCAAAAACAAACAAACAAAAACCACACACACACACACAAAGTAAACTCAAGAACTAAAATGAAAAACTCAACTGTATGGGCTGTTGGACATGGGAGGAGAAAGTATTGGTGAACTTGAACATAAATATATAGCTATATAGCCAATTTGAAAAATAAGGAAAAGATTTTAAACACCCGAACAGAGAAACCCTAAAAAAGATAAAAGTATTGTTTAAAAACAATGAAGAATCAGATACGTTTAACCCAGAAGAAAGCAGGAAAAGAGGAATATAGGAAGAAAAACAGTGGGACCATTAGAAAACACACAGCAAAATGACTAACTTTAACCTGTAGATAGAAAACATTATTTGAAAAAAAGGACTAAAGATTAATTCAATTAAAGTGCAGACTAGTTAAACAGGATCCACCCCACACAAGTGTAGTCAACTGATCTTTGACAAAAGAGCAAAGGTAATACGATGGAGCAAAGACAGTCTTTTCAGTATGTGCTGGAACAACTGGACATCCACATGTTACCAGAAAAAATCTAGACAGAGACCTAACACCTTTCACAAAAATTTACTCAACGTGAATCACAGATCTAAATACAAAACAACTTATAAGACTTAGATGATAATATCCAGAATTCAAATCTAGAGAAATCTAAATGAACTTGGGCTTGGCAATGACCTTTTTAGATACACCATCATTTCATGATTCATGAAAAAAAAATTGATAAATTGGGCTTTTCAAAATTAAAAATGTCTGCAGTGTAAGACGTAGCCAAGAAAATGAGAAGATAAGCAAGCCACAGAGTAGGAGAAAATACTTGCAAAAGCATATCTGATAAAGGATTATTTATCCAAAATATATAAGGAACTCTTTAAAACTTAGTAAGAAAACAACCTGATTAAAAACAGACATGAACAACAGATCTAAATAAATACCTCACCAGAGAAAACATACAGATGGCAAATAAGCATGTGGAAAAAATGTTTAACATCGTATATCATTAGAAAGTTGCATTTTAAAACAACACTGAGATACCACTACAACCTATATGAGTGGCAAAAATCCCAAACACTGACAACAGAAAATGCTACTGAGGATGTGGAACAGCACAACTCTGATTCATTGCTGGTGGGAATGCAAATGCTACAGCCACTTTGGAGGACAGTTTGGCAGTTTCTTACAAAACTAAGCATACTCCTATCATATGATCCAGCAATCATGCTCCTTGATATTTACTCAAATACTTGAAAAATTATGTCCACACAAAAACCTATACATGGATGTTGATAGCAGTTTTATTAATAATTGCCAAAATTGGAAGCAATCAAGATGTTCTTCAGTATGTGAGTGGATGAACAATGGTATATCCAGACAATGGAATATTATTCAGTGCTTAAAAAAAAGTTATCAAGCCATGAAAAGAAAATTAAATCCATATTACTAAGTTAAAGAAGCCAGTCTTTACAACTTTCCAACTGGAAAACTCAAAACTATGGAGATAGTTACAGCCTAGTGGTTACCAGGGGTTAGAGAGGAGGGAGGGTTAAATAGGTGGAGCAAAGAGAATTTTTAGGGTAGTGAACTATGCCGTATACTATTACAGTGGTGGATACACGTCATTATACAACTGTCAAAACCTATAGCATGTCCAGCACCAAGAATGAGCAGTAAATTACTGACTTTGATCATGATATGTCAATGTAGATTCACTAATTGTAACAAATGTACCACTCTGGGATGTTGATAATGGGTGAGGCTGTGTGTGTTGTTTAGGGGTGCTGGGAGGGTTTATCTTTACTTCCTCCTTAATTTTGCTGTAACCCTAAAACTGCTCTAAAAAAGAAAGTCTATTAAAAGAGCCAGCTGGTCCGCGCTGGGCTACCGTCCCCGCTGGGCTGCGGCAGTGGAACTCAGCGCCCAGTACCTCGGGGAGAAGCTGCGGCGAGACCTGCAGGTGGAGCACGTGGAAGTGGAGGACATGACTCCCAACCATTGCGCATCCAGCTTCCGAGTCCTCGTGGTGTCGGCCAAATTCGAGGGGAAGCTGCTGCTTCAGAGACACCGGCTTGTGAACACGTGCCTAGCGGAAGAGCTCCTGCACATCCATGCTTTTGAGCAGGAAACCCTGACCCCAGAGCAGTGGGCCTGTGAGCAACAGAAATAAGAGACTGGGACCAGCACACGCATTAAATTATGAATCAAGGCCAAAAAAAAAAAAAAGCGAGCTGTGTGCTACTATGAGAGATACACTTTAAAAACAAATACACAGGTTGCAAACAAGAAAGGATACAGTATGCAAATAAGAAACAAAAAAGCTGTTGTGGCTATGTAAGTATCAGACACAGAAGACTTCAAGAACAGTAGTATTACCAGAAATAAAGAGGGACATTTTATCTGTCAATGAGAAGGCATGGCAATCATAAATGTACATGTAACATGTACATGTAACAGAGCTTCAAAATATATGAAGGAAATAAATGACAGAATTAAAGGCAGACATAAACATTACTCTCTCAGTAACTGATACAATATCCAACGACAAAGTAAAGAATTCC